ATGTTAGAGAGAAGCTTCTAAGATGTTGGAGCCTTGCCGCAGACCACTTACAGCAGTCGCAGTCCAAAACCAAGACATGGTGCGACAAGCGTGCCAGACAGAGAGTTCCAGATAGGAGATCAAGTTCTCATTCTCTTGCCGAGACATGGACAGCTGCTCCATGCGAAGTTCAGTGGGCCATATAGAGTGGTGAAGAAGGTAAGCCCCACAAATTATATTATCTCTACCCCTGAAAGGCGCCGACTACAGCGCTTATTTCACGTCAACACCATCAAGCTGTACCACACACACCCAGCATCCCCATCTGTTGCTGACGATCCAGTTCCCGTGTGTGCCGTTGACACTTTCTCGGTAGACGGTGAGAAAGAAGAGGAAGAAGAAGGGGCAAGTCCACTCGGCCTGTCATCAGTCAGGGTTTGGCAGTCCAACACCGTGGAGTTGCAGGAGAAGGTACAGCATATACCAGGACACCAGAGGGCTGACGTGCTAGCCACCATCCAACAACATCCTCTTGTCTTCCAAGACAGGCCTGGCTGTACCACTGCCGTGGTGCATGATATTGTTGGACACCTTTAAACCTATCAAGCGATAACCAGCAGTGGTGCTACCAGTCACTCTAGTACCGAAGGACGGCACTCTTCGATTCTGCATCGACTTCCGCCCAGGAGTCAGCGCCGTCTGTAAGGACAGCTTCCCTCTACCAAGAGTCGAAACTGCATCCAGAAGCAATGAGAACCTCAAGTCCCTCTCTAGATTGATTGTCTTCAGCGGGGGTTTTGGCAAATTACCATTCACCCGTCGTGCTAAAGACATCTCCAGTTTTTGTGACATTAGGTAGACCTATAAATTCAATATTCTGCCTTTCGGGCTTTGCAGTACCCACTTGCACAAACAAAGGCTGATGTCACGGCCAATTGGCCTGGTTATGTAGTATATTTAGATGTTCCAGCAATTTTTTTTCTGACACTTGGTCAGACCATTTATGTCCAGCTAAACTAGCTCTCTTCACTGACTTAGAAAATGTAGGACTTAGTATAAAGTTTGCTAGAGTCAAATTTGTTGTGCTCAACTTTTTTGTATCTGGGACATGTATTGGGTTGGGAAACTTTGCTTCCTCCCACAGCAAAGGTGTGACACTGGCCTATCAGATACCTGTTCCATGTAACAAACGACAGGATTCTCGGAATTTTTGGGTTGTGTCTGTTATTGCAGGAATATATTTGTAATTTTTGCGAGTTGGCACAACCCCTTACTATTGTTGAAGAAGGGGTAATATTTTTTTGTTGGACTTCAAGGTGTCAGGATTCTTTTCAAGCTTGAAAAATGTATTATGCTCATACCCTATTATAATTTTATACAGATCACAAACCATTGCAGTTTCTCAAAACATCCAAGTTAAAAATCAGAGATTAATTCGCTGGAGTTTGTTAATTCAGAACTATAATTTACATGTTACACATGTTAAGGGTTCAGACAATGTGCTGGGTGATCTGTTATCTAGACCCACAGAATGAACACTTATGTCATATCAAAATTTGTGCAAGCAAAAATTTTATTTTATGGTGGGAAGTGTTACGACCGTGTCGTATTTTTCTATTATTTTCTATAACATGCTTCCATGTTGTTCCATATTATTCCTGTAATGATGTGTTATATTTACTATTATATAATCTAGTCACCTTACCCTGTGCTGTTAAGGTTTTAACTGTTATTATTTGTTCAAGCCCATCTTATTTCTTCATTTAGTATTGTAACAAGCATTCTTTGTTTCTCTAACGACCATCTGCATCGTTAAACGTCCCATGTTTCACCTGCAGGTCGCACTGGCGGGAGCTGACCCTATATATACAGTAGTACCCCACCAGCAGACGGAGTTCAGTCCAGTCCTCTTGTCATTCAGTTCACGTTCTTTTGAGTGACTCCCGTCACCTGTTACTTATACTTTATTTTATTTTCTGTGTTGTTCCTGTCGCCACCAATGTGGTATATCTATGTAAGTAGCTATTCATGTCTCTTATGTGTCCATCAGTGCTTGCTTAGTTACATTTAAGTAATTCAGTGTTGTTTCACGATAGTTAATTTCAGTGTTAGTTATTTTATATGTTTATGTAGTGTTAACGTAATCCAGTGGTTTATTCTATATATTTAAGCAGTTCTTTGATGTTTCGATGTTTTAGTATCATTTGTGTCTTTAAAGGTTTCGATAGTGAATCAATTTGTTGTGACAGCCTGCGAGGCTCTTTATTGTGTTAGTATTTTATTTAATTAAATTCTTAAAGGTTTACTTTATTTATTTTTATTCCCTTTTGATTTACTTCACTTTTCTTTTTGTTTGGTTACGCATAGAACCTGGATATTAAAGTAAATTAAGAGACGGCGTAACAATACATATATATATATATATATAATATATATATATATATATATATATATATATATATATATATATATATATATATATATATATAGAAGAGAGATATATAATTACAAAGTTATATACGTATATACTCGTACATTTTTGATTGATGGATAAATATACATTAGGATAGATAGACAGATGATCAATTAATTAGGTAACTAGAGGAAGAAATAAATAGAAATTTATGTATGTACAGATATTTAATGTGTAAATCTAGCCATCATTAGGGAGACGAATTGACAGAAGGACTTAAAAAAGAGTCCAAGTGTGAACAATAACCAGAGTTGGCAGGAAACAATGTTACCTTGACACTTGTGTCAATATTTACGGGGTTGATGTAGGTCACGTAGTTGGCAGCTTATCATCTATTTACTTAGATATTTTTTCTTCTTATACAGTGTCTTTCACTCTACCAGCTGTAAGCTTTTCTATACTGTATACTGTGCAGTATAATCACAGTAGAACCTAGATATTGCTTAGTAACGAGGAGCTTGATCGTAATTCTACATACAGACTACATAAGACTCTAAATACCATCGAACGCATATTTTTTTAAATAATTTTATAAATTATACTACTTTTAAATCTCAAGGAATTTAAGAATTTTAAATATACGGATAAGCTGAATGTATTCTATATCATATTTTTGTTGAGTCAATGATTGGTAGAACAGAAAAACACTTTATATTCTCCGTAAAGTGTGTTATGAATATCTTACCAGAGTGTGTTGCGAGCAGGCAGCGGGTACGGCAGTGTTTATTCCTCCAGTATTTGAATTGGTAATATTCAGCACCAGCAGCGTCTGCCAGCTGTCACCAACCACCGAGTGTTCTACACTGCCCATTACTGCCGCTATAATACCACCACCACCACCACCACCGCATATACACCCGTAGCTTCATTTACCTCCTTTGTGTAATTTGAATATGCCTAATTTCATAAACTTACGACCTGTTGGTCCGCTCCACCAGCAAAATAGGTTCCAAACTTACTTAAACCCAACCTTTGTTAAGTTGTCCAAAATTGTTAATGTTGACAAAGAGTGCGTGCTATTTTTTGTTCTCGATAAACAACAGTCTATCTATCTTCTAAAATAATACAAGAGCCCGAGAGTGTTTGTGTGTAGGTCAGCGCCGTCACCCCCAAGACGATGTAACCTAGAGACCTGAAACCTTGCGTACATACCAAAGGACTCTAGCGGTAAGCACCTAGGTGTCATCTTTAAGATATATCTGGAAAAATGACCCCATCTTTGCATATAATATAAAAACCTTTCTATCGCCTTTAACACACCCCCGCTGACCTGCCAGATGTAAGAACAAATCTATTTGCACCAGCACTAACATAATCCCCAAAAATCATACCAAACTCATTAATATACAAAACAACTATAAATTAAAAACAAAAGGTGAATTACTCTAAAACGATAGAAAACAGAGAAACAAAAATAGATGTTTACGTTCAGGAAGACCTCCGCCACCCCCACCGTTGTGCATATAGTCAGAAGGGATTTATCTTTCTTACCACCTATATATTGTTTGTTTAGTTGGGTTTAGGTCAGTTCAGGTCGGGTTGGGTTAGGTTACGTTTGGTTGGATTTGGTTGGGTTGGGTTATTTCACGTTATGTTATATCGTGTTAAGATAGTTTGGGTGCAGTTACATCATGAAACAGTGCCAAAAATAAGGTTTTAGTACATTAGAATATTCAATTTATAAAAGTCTTTGGTATTATGAATAGCTTAGAGCTTCTGGTTGTATGACACAAGTAAAATAGGGTAAAAACTAAACACATACACACATGGATAATATCGAATGAAATTATATTATTGTAAGAAAAAGACTTGATTACTGCACCCCATATATGCTCATGATTGGGAAAAATGGTTCATAACTTAACTGTAGAGAATTTTACACTCACCACCTGGAACTTCAACATGGAACCTGTACACCTGACAACATTTCACAAATCATTCATCTGGGTGTTGAATTTTTTATGCCCTATCAATGGCAGATATTTCTGATAATGTGTTCCAGATCCCTGATTATTTGCTCCATATCCCTGCTTATTTGTTCTAGATCCCTGCTTATTTGTTCCAGACCCCTGCTTATTTGCTCCACACCCCTACTTATTTGCTCCATATCCCTGCTTATTTGTTCTAGATCCCTGCTTATTTGCACCAGATCCCTACTTATTTGCTCCATATCCCTGCTTATTTGTTCCAGATCCCTGCTTATTTGTTCTAGATCCCTGCTTATTTGCACCAGATCCCTGCTTATTTGCACCAGATCCCTGCTTATTTGTTCTAGATCCTTGCTTATTTGCTCCAGACCCTAGCTTATTTGCTCCAGATCCCTGCATATCTGATCCCGACCCCTGCTTATTTGCTCCAGACACCTGTTTATTTGCTCCAGATCCCGCTCATTTGTTCCAGACCTTGCTTATTTGCTCCAGATCCCTGCTTATTTGCTCCAGATCCCTGCTTATTTGCTCCAGATCCCGCTTACTTGTTCTAGATCCCTGCTTATTTGCACCAGATCCCTGCTTATTTGCACCAGATCCCTGCGTAATTGCTCAATACCCTACTTATTTGCTCCAGATCCCTGCTTATTTGCTCCAGACCCCTGCATATTTGCTCCAGATCCCTGCTTATTTGCTCCAGATCCCCGCTTATTTGCACCAGATCCCTGCTTATTTGCTCCAGATCCCAGCTTATTTGCTCCAGGCCCCTGCTTATTTGTTCCAGACCCCTGCATATTTACTCCAGATCCCTGCTTATTTCTTCCAGATCCCTGCTTATTTGCTCCAGATCCCTGCTTATTTGTTCTAGATCCCTGCTTATTTGCACCAGATCCCTACTTATTTGCTCCATACCCCTACTTATTTGTTCTAGATCCCTGCTTATTTGTTCCAAACCCCTGCTTATTTGCTTCAGACCCCTGCTTATTTGCTCCAGATCCCTGGTTATTTGCTCCAGATCCCTGCTTATTTGCTCCAGAGCCCTGCTTATTTGCCCCAGATCCCTGCTAATTTCTTCCAGATCCCAGCATATTTACTCCAGACCCCTGCTTATTTGCTCCAGATCCCTGCTTATTTGTTCCAGACCCCTGCTTATTTGCTCCAGATCCCTGCTTATTTGCTCCAGATCCGTGCTTATTTGCTCCAGATCCATGCTTATTTGCTCCAGATCCCTGCTTATTTGTTCCAGATCCCTGCTTATTTGCTCTAGACCCCTGCTTATTTGCTCCCGATCCCTGCTTATTTATTCCAAACCCCTGCTTATTTAAGAACATAAGAAAATAATGAGTCTGCAATAGGCCGGTTGGCCTGTGCATGGCAGCTCCTGTCGAGAGTTACTACCACTCTCTATCGTCCATGAATCTATCTAGTCTCCTTTTGAAACTTTCCAGCGTTCCAGCACTTACTACAAAGTTGCTAAGCTTGTTCCACTCGTCCACCACCCTATTTGTGAACCAGTTCCTTCCTATCTCCCTCCTATTCTTAAACTTATCCAACTTAAATCCGTTGCTCCAAGTCCTATATCCTGCTCGGATATTATAAGAACTTTATCTATATCACCTTTATTGATTCTTTTCACCCACTTAAATACTTCTATCATATCTCCCCGCACTCTTCGTCTTTCTAGGGTTTGCAAGTTTAGTTTCTTTAACCTATCCTGATATGGAAGGTTTCTAAGTCCCGGAATCATTTTCGTCATTCTTCGCTGCACCGACTCTAGTGAATTGATATCCATTCTATAATAAGGGCACCAGAACTGAACCCCATAATCGAGGTGCGGCCTGACTAGCGCAAGATATAGTTGCAATAAGACCTCTGCACTCTTATTACTTACACTTCTAGATATAAAACCCAATACTCTGTTTGCCTTATTTCGAACATTAACGCACTGTTTTCTAGGCCGTAGCTCCGGGCTTACAAGTACCGCTCGGTCTCTTTCACAAGTCGACTTCTCTAGGTTGATGTTGTTAAGGCTGTATGCATTGACAGTATTTGTTATTCCAATATTAAGTACTTTGCACTTGCTGGTGTTGAATTTCATTTACCATTGTTTAGACCAACCCTGCAGTTTATTTAGATCCTCCTGTAATGCATTTGCATCCTGCCCTGAATTAATCTGCCGCCCTATTTTGGTGTCATCCGCAAACTTGCTTATGTCACTGCTGATCCCAGTATCTAGATCGTTTATGTAGATTATGAACAAGAGTGGGCCTAGTACTGACCCCTGGGGAACCCCACTGGTTACACGGCCCCACTCAGATTTAACACCATCTACGCTGACCCTCTGCGTTCTATCGGTGAGCCATTATTTTATCCAAATTAAAACTTATTTGCTCCAGATCTCTGCTTATTTGTTCCAGAACCCTGCTTATTTGTTCCAGACCCCTGCTTATTTGCTCCAGATCCCTGCTTATTTGTTCCAGACCCCTGCTTATTTGCTCCAGATCCCTGCTTATTTGTTCCAGACCCCTGCTTATTTGCTCCAGATCCCTGCATACCTTTATTACAGAAAATAGCTCCTCACTTCCGTCTTACGTCTTTATTTTCTTCTTTTCTAGTGTCCAAGCTATCATCCTTTTTCGTTCAGTACCAGTAGTTTTAAACTTCATTTCTGTATGGTGTCATGCCTATTCTCTGTGTTACGAGTTGGGGATTTAGAATATAGTTAAAAGTCTACCCAGATCCCAACAGGCAACAAAAAAACACAAAACAAAGACAATCGGACTATAAAAGGGTAGACAAAGGATGCGAGTTTTTGTTGTGTATAATAAAGTACCATAAATTCCTTAACAAAATATTCAGCTTTCTATAATCTACCCTTAACCATACTTAACCTAAACATTAACAGTATATACATATTTATACAACATAAACAATTTTGAAGCAAGTGGACGTGGGGGAGGCAATATAAGATTACAAATACTTAAGTGCGGAGCTGAGATGGCTGACGAGTAAAGCGGAGTATTGTAGAAGACGGTAGGTAGTCACTGTGCCGTAGGTTTCCAGGATAGGTGATCCTGTGGTCACTTCCCAGAGTGAACTGAACTCACATCGAACTGGAGCTGACGAAGAAGACTTTGAGGAGGTGACGCAACAACCAGGATATGGAGAAGGGAAACCCCGGAGTGGTAACTAAGACGAGTCATACTCGTGTCTCGTTCCTAGATGGCGTTGCTCGTGGTGCTGGGTAGGTAGATCAGGACAATAGATGGCGTGGTTCGTAGTGCTGGGTAGGTAGATCATGACAATTGGTGGCGTGGTTCGAAACACACCCCCCCTCCAAAGACCTCCATAGCACAGGCGCGAAGGAGATGATCACCTGGTGCGTCTGGAGAGTAGCTGCTGCATTTCCACTGGAGCTCGGGATAAGGAATCCGCAATCAGGTTGTCCACCCCCTTTATGTGCCGGACTTGTAGATTATAGGGCTGGGTGAGGAGAGCCCAGCGGAGGATTCGCTGGTTGGAGTTCTTGTTGGTTTGGATGAACGTGAGTGGGTTATGGTCGGTGAAGACTAGGGTTGTTTGTGGGCAAGACTGGAGGTAACATTCAAACTTCTTTATTGCCAACACCAAAGCCAGGGCCTCCTTCTCTATGGTCGAGTAGTTGGTCTGATGTTTTTTCAACTTGGCGGAGTAATATGCCACAGGGTGAAGGACATCAGTGGTTGGGTCGGGTTGTAGGAGCACAGCCCCCACTCCGACACCGCAAGCGTCGATTTGCAGATGGAAGGGCAAGGTGTAGTCAGGGGGGTGGACTACAGGTTTAGAGGCAAGGAAGGCTTTGAGGCGGTGGAAAGACTGGTCGCATTTCTGGTTCCAGATGGAAGGGACCGCAGAACTGGTAAGGTCTGTGAGGGGTCCCGCCACGCTGGAGAAGCTACTGCAGAACCGATGGTAGTAGCCGCACATCCCCAGGAAGTGCATGAGTTCCTTCCTCGTCCTTGGAGTGGGGAAGGACAAGATGGCTTTAACGTTTGCGTCCTTGGGTCTCACCATACCATGCCCAACGATATGTCCCGGGTAAGTCACTGAGGCCCGGCCAAAAGCAGATTTAACCAATTTATGGTGAATCCAGTCTCTTGCAGTCGTGCCAACAGTATCTCCAAACGCACCAGATGTTCGTCCCAGCCGTCCAACACCACCACCAGGTCATCCAGGTAGGCGAACGTCCCACCTAGGTCCTGAATTAGGTAGTTGATGGCCCTCTGGAATGTGGCCGGAGCATTAGAAAAGCCAAACGCCATAACCAAATATTGAAAAGACCAAATGGAGTTATAAATACCGAGATTATTTTTTGCCTATCAGTGAGTCCCACTTGATAATATCATTCCAATAAGTCCCACCGTACTGATAAATTTGGCACAGCCTATGCTGTCTATTATATCTTCAATCAAAAGGTAAAGGGTAGAGTCTGAGACAGTGACCTGGTTCACTTTTACGATAATCATTGCAGAAACGAAAAAGTGTATCGGGTTTCAGAATGAAAAGCAAGGTGAAGCCCGGGGAGAGTACTAGGCTCAGCTAAGTTATGTTTTAACAAAAAATCTACCTCCTTTTTTCATAATCTCTCTTTTTGTGGTTTAGTCGATATGCACTGATTGCCTAATGGGTTGTACATCATCTGAGATTGGCTTAATATCATGTTTAAGTATATTACCAAAACCCTGGGAGGTCTGACGTGACTTTAGGAAATGTTGATAATAACTTAGTGAGATCTTTTGCTTGAGATGGATTCAGAACAGAAAAATACTCATCCAAGTTGTTGAGTATGTGACTGTTAGCAGGGTTCTCTTTAGGTAGAGGGAAGTCTAAATTCTCCAATTGGTCCATGTCATCTGTCTCCGGCTCCGGCCCTGACAAAACCGTATGCAATACAGGTAAGCTTATAGCCTCTGGGATGTCTTCCTCTGACTGCCTGGAATGGTAAAGTTTCATGAGATTAATGTGAACAAGTTGTGAATCTTTTCGGCGATCAGGAGTATGGACTATATAGTTGAGGGGAGATAGTTTATTAGCAACTATATAGTGACCAGTAAACTTGCTTTTAAGGGGAGAGCCTGGAATGGGTAGAAAGAGTAACACTTTGTCACCTGGAGAAAATGATCTTTCAACTAATTTAGGTTGGGACTTCACCATTTTTTCTTGGAATTTTTTTAAGTTTGACTGAGCAATGGTTCGGACTTCAGTTAATTTGTCCCGTAAAGTGTCAATGTATTGGGAAACTGTTGCGGGCTTAATAGATGGAGTGTCAAACCACTGCTCCTTTACTATTTTAAGGGGTCCCCTAATTTGTCTCCCATATAGTAACTCGAACGGGGAGAAACCCAATGACTCCTGGGGACATTCCCTGATGGCAAAGAGTAACAAGTCTATGCTTTCATCCCATTCCTTTTGGTGTTCTATACAGTATTTTTCTGGCATTGATTTGAAAGTTTGATGGAACCGTTCCAAGCAACCTTGGGATTGTGGGTGGTAAGCCGAAGATGTACAATGGTCCACACTGAGGTCTTTCATCACCTGTTTGAAAAGATTGCTCGTAAAATTGGTGCCCTGATCGGATTGGATCTCTTTAGGAATGCCCACTGAAGTGAAAAGGTGCAAAAGAGGTTTGATTACATTTTTTGATGTGATGTTTTTAAGGGGAAAAGCCTCAGGATAACGTGTACTGGTATCCATAACTGTGAGCAGGAATTGATTTCCCTTCTTTGTCTTTGGTAATGGGTCCACACAATCCACAACAATCTTTTCAAATGGAGTAGAAAATATTGGGATGGGCTTAATGGGAGCTGCTGGTATACTTTCATTTGGTTTTTCTACCATTTGACAAATATGACAAGATTTTAGGTACTTTGACACATCCTTCCTAAGTCCAGGCCAGTAATAGTGTTGGAGGAGCTTTTTATATGTTTTCATGGGCAAGGGCAATTAATGCTGGTCTGACTGAGGAGGGAATTACCACTTGATGTATTTCAGACCACGTGTCTAGATGGGCAAGCTCAGGGGGCCTATTGGCCCTCATCAAAACCCCTTCCTGATAATAAAAACACGGAAGGGTGTTAAAATCTTTACCCTCAACTGCTGCATGATGAAGTTTATTCAAAGATGGATCAGATTGTTGGGCTTTAATGAGCTCATCCTTACTAATGGTCTTATTGTACAGATCTTCTGTGGGTAGGAAGATATTGGAGGTGGTTTTAGATGAAGAGGGCCCATTTCGCACACTCTGTGACCGGGTGACAGCACAAGATGGGAAAAG